ACCCACAAAACAACGTCGTAGGTCAAAAAAATATCGATCATGGGTATTATTTTATTTCTTATTTCTTATAGGAAAAAATAATTAATGTCAAGTATTTATGTTCTCATTTCAATTAAAAGAAATGTCTTGGGTATCAGTCGCTGACAGGTCTTCAAAATTTCTCTACAAGAGTTTTCTTTTTTTTCCAGTACTTAAGAGAGAGAGAATAAAAAAAATTGTTTCAGGAGGAGCACTGTGCATGTTGCTTTAGCCTATAATTGTGCATGATGCTTTAGCATTGTCTGTGTGGTCTTGATAACCAGGTTTTCTGTGGACTAAATGACCGAGGATGGTATGGTCTTCTCAATAAAGTTTATTGTCTATCTCAAAGACATACGTTCTTTATATTTGCACATATAATTAGGAGGAAAGTTATATTCGTAAATATATATTGATTTTATTAGATATGTTTCAGCTTACATGTATTTTCGAGAATATTCGTTTTTAAATGTACACTGGCCAAAGCGATAAAATAGCTTATGGTATAACTTTATTGGCATTATTCTTAAATATTCACTAATTATTTCCCATAGCTTCCTCCACCACCATAGCCTCCGCCGCTGCCACCTCCAGAACCACCAACGCCACCTCCAAAACCTCCACCACCAAAGCTACCAAAGCCTCCTTTGCCTCCGAAGTTAAAACCGCTGCTTGATAGAACAGAGCTGTAGCCGCCGCCGCCGCCGCCGCCGCCGCCGCCACCACCACCACGCCCACCAACGAAGGTACCTCCATAGCTGCCACCACCTGAGCCACCTCCACCAAAGAAGGCACCTCCACTGCCTCCGAAACCGAAACCGCTGCCGGAAGAGCCACCGCCATAACCCCCACCACCACCACCACCACCACCACCAATTCCTCGACCACCAGGACTAGCGAAGGTGGTCACGGCCAGGAGAGCCACGACCAGGGTAAGTAACACCAATTTCTGTAAAAGTAGATAATACTAACTTAATGTAATGTTCAAGAAAATTAAGGAAAATTATCCATTCTCCCCCCCCCAATCATATTCAAAAGAACGTGGTATGACCCCAAAGAATATATATTTCTTCTTCCAGCTAAAAAAAAATTCTTCCAGGCAATTTTTAATCAACTGGACAATGGTGCTTACATTAGATCTACAGTGTGCTGCTAGCACCATTAGTCTAATTTATCCATCTGCTGTTAGAGTATAAGCAAGGTAACATTTATGAAGAGATTCAGGGAAACCGGCAGGCCGGACTTGAGTCCTGGAGATGGGAAGTACAGTGTCTACACTCTGAAGGAGGGGTGTTAATGTTGCAGCTTTATAACTGTAGTATAGGCATGCCTCTGACAAGACAGTGATGGAGTAAATGATGATGAAAGTTTTTCTTTTTCAGGTCACCCTGCCTTGGTGGGAGACGGCCATGTGGTAATAAAAAAAAATAAAAAAATCTACCAGGAGGTCTGGTTGGAGATTGGGTAAAGAGAACAATGCTAGTGACACCATTAACAGGAATAGGTAGACTGAAGCATTCATAATGTTTCCCAAGATAAGGATAAAACTTGAAAATTTTTACTTGTTTAGATGATGCTATGAGTAGACAGAAAAATATTTGCTGCTATAAACAAGTATTTTATATCAATGACAACATAGACTGTCTATTAATAGACTGATGACACGACAAACGTATAAAAATATTTCCTTGTATGTCACACCTCTTAATGTATTTCATGTGGTGGTTTATTTGCCAGGAAACAACAGCATCACCTCACAATCATAATTAGCTAACCCGTTTTATGGTTAAACATTTGCAGGTCTACAGGAGCTAATTTTACGCCCGATTCCAAAAACAAAACACACTACATATTCGTAAGGGTATCAAAATAAAATTCTGATTCTAAGCACTTCCTAATTCTTCATAAAATTTATTGCTCTTAAAGAGTAAGACATCAAAATAATTTATAATATGCAACGTAATTTGTTCTTTACATCTTAAAACTGATATCCCTCCAGTTTTACTTCTGTAGTATTTGTGAATAGGGTGTTATTGCTGTCATAAAGAACAAATGATAAATGTGACAGCAGAAATATTTATTTAAATGTTGCTATCAAACGTATCACAGTCTGATGTCTGTCATCTACATTATTGATCTACACTAGAACAAGGCAGTGAATATTCCAAACAATAAGAAGAATACCAAGTCTTACCATGTTGGTGTAGTCAGTCAGGAAGACCAGACAGAAATATGATGAAGAGATGTGTAGTACAGAGCTCATATACCACATCTGTGATAGCCCAGTCACTCAAACCTTGGAGAAGTCACTCAAACCTCGATGTTCCTTCCCTGTCTCATGTTCTCCTACATATATTTTACAAAATGATGCATTTTTTATTATTCATCGTATAATCCCATATCAATATGAATGACTTGTGAACAGTGAATGACAATCATAAAATAAGCAGAGTATCTGGGCACTGATTTTTCTTCGGATTTTTTTTCAAACGAAATTTCAGTGTTTTTTTTTTTTAATATTATTTACTTATTTTTTTATGTGTAATATATTATGCAATTATTATTGGTACTGAACGGGAATTATAACTGGTGTATTTATTAACTGTATAAGAAAAATAATATATTTGCGAACAGCTGTAAGGAACTCAGTAGAGGTGTTCTGGTACTTTACTATTTAAAACACTGAAGTATAAATATGAATTATTTCCGGAGTATCGTAATTCTTCTCTTTCATGGAAAACCTAATTAACATAACTTCGTAATAATATTTGCAATAATCGGTGTATGATTCTAAGTATCAGAAGATATTCCATGTTTTCTTGATATGCATTTACACAGATCGAAGCATTTAACTAATTTTCGTCAAAACAGTGTGTGGATCTAAAGAGTTTTGAAACAAATACATCGTGACGTGTCCAGTCATGTTCACAATCTCAGTGATATTTAAGTTTACAATGACAAAAATTTTGTGAATGTCTTTTTAAAACTATATGCAAATACATGACACTAAAACTATTTCGGATTATATTTTGTGTCTTATTCACTATTATTTTGTTTCTTTATTTAGTTATATATTTTATAAACGTAGGTATTAAGTTGTGTATATTATGATACTTGAGTACACAAAGACAGATATTCATCTGCCAATTTTTAATGAGAATGGTTTTAAAGGATGAAAAAGGTCATAAAAACCCTGACTGGAATACACAGTAATGCACACTTTTGGTAGCTTATCAGATGTCTTCTGGTTTTCTGTGCGTTTCTCTCTTACTGGTGACTAGACTATGGTCAAGGACTAACCGAAGCATCGTTGAAGCTTCCGTTCCTATGTGTGGGTTTTTTTGTGAAGCGGATGTAAAAATATAAGTTGTTCAATACATTATCGGAGAACAGATAGGTTCGGTAACATTTGTCAGGAAACACGACAAGTGTTTCTTGACGAGGTCTTCAGTTATATGATAAACGCAGCTGGAGCTTTTGGTCTTCTGACCAAGGCCTTTCCCTGGCTTTACGGATCACCCCCTTTAAAAAGTATGACTATGAGTGTAAGCATTTAACAGTCGCAGAACGGAGACCTTTGCATAAAAAGCTCGGAGAACAAGCTTATTCTAGTTTATACTAGAATGTATAGGTATATATAGTTAAATTTGATCAAAACAAAAAAAGACATTTTCTAGGGAGGGACTCTAAAGTTTGAAAAACTGACTCCCAAAGGATTGCTTCTTAGTGTTTGTTCTGTATAGTATTCGTCTGGAGGTAAAAAATTTATCAGGGATCAATGATATCCTTCATTATCACGAACCTTTATATTAGAATTAAAATAAAAGACGAACAAATAAACCAGTGTGCCATCTAGTATAATTAGTTCAAGAGAACATAAGGACATGTCATGACATCAAGGTCTTAGTGACGTGGCTCTCACAGGTCTGGTATATAAGCTAGGCATTACCAACGTCTTCATCATACTCCTGTCTTGGCTTCCCTCCTGAAGACACCAATATGGTAAGATTTCTAGGGCCCTCATTGTCTGAAGTGTGTCAGTAGTAAAAATCGAAGAGGTTTTTGGCAGAAGTATCACAATATTGATGAATTTGAAATCAGCGGCAGTCACTGGATACAAATAACTGCTAAGTGATAAGATCAGGTCTAAATAAACACTTTTTAAGCAACTTGTCTTCATGACAAGCTTTATGAGAAAATATGGCTTACGATGAGAATTTACCTTAGGAACGAGCAATAAAATGTGACAGTGTGATGTGAAATATGATAGATGAACTTGGGTCGACTTTCTCTTACCAGAAGTACGATGAGAATAAAAAAATAAGAGACAAAGTTACGAGAGGGAAGTCGAATTTCTTGACACGAGGATTTTCCTGCATATTTCTGAGTGTTATCATATTATTTTTCTATTATTAAATGTTTAGAATTAATTTTAAAAACAATTGTTTCTCATCCCGGAAATCTATGCGATGGACACTCAAATCATCATAAATAGGAGGAATTATTTTCCATGCTCAATAGAGTTTTATACATTATCTCTTCTGAGCTAACATATAAAAATTAATGGCAGTGGGGGGCGGGGGAGATTATTTTGCTTTCTTGTTTTATGAAAAGTTAAAACTTGGTAAGGATGTTGATCAGTAAAATATTTTTGTACTATTTTTTCAGAAGTTGATATTCCTCGCCCTGAGTGTGGCTTCTCTCGCCATGTCCAGTTTGGCGACTCCTGGCTTCCTAGGAGGTGGAGGTAGCGGTGGTGGTGGTGGTGGTGGTGGTGGATACGGAGGCGGCGGCTTTGGTCGTGGTGGAGGCAGCTTTGGTGGTGGCGGCTTTGGTGGAAGCGGCGGCGGTGGTGGCAGCGGATATGGAGGTAGTGGAGGAAGCTCCATCATCATTCTCGGAGGTGGAGGAGGCCGCGGTTTCGGAGGTGGTGGAGGGGGTTATAGCGGTGGTTTGTCAAGCAGCAGTTTCATCCGCGGAGGCCATGGAGGTGGTGGAGGCGCCTTCTTTGGAGGCGGAAGCTTTGGTGGTGGCGGCGGCAGCTATGGAGGAAGCTCTGGTGGCGGCTTTGGAGGTGGTCGTGGTGGCGGCGGTGGAGGCTTTGGTGGTGGTGGCAGCGGTGGCGGATATGGTGGTGGTGGCAGGGGTGGCGGAGGAGGCTATGGCAAATAAAATGGCAATATTTTAGATTTATAGGATTTAGTCCATTCTGTTTTTTGCCGATTTATACGAAAAAGAGAGAATGTATTAATAAACAAAATTTTGAATGTACTAGAGTTTATTTTCTCATCAAATGAGAAACAATTTTTTTTTTCAAGAATACAGCTATATATGTGTGTTGTACTGTAAATGGTATGGTGATTCTTACAAACTGGGAAAGAACACTTGTGAACAGTTCACTGTGCTTCTTTAAAGGTCACATTTCGCCACGAATGGCTTCATCATTATGACTAATGAAGCCATTCGTGGCTACATATTTCCACTAATAAATGTCCTCAACTGCACCCAGGTCTCCTTTTCCAAAGAGATATGTCAGGTGGGAACATTATTTCCATTAATATTTACACGACTCACGAGATCGCTATAACACTTCAGAGATTTCGAACTTCTCAATTTAGTGATTGTTATAAATATTTTTGATAAAGCAAATCTATGCAAATATATTTATTAGCGAATGTAAGACTCCATGATATAGTGCTCATGAGATCTGATCTTAGCCTTTATTTGATGTAACGACAAGAGGAAAAATTAATTCATGAACATAAAAGGTCTCACTAAAACAAAATCGATGTAATATTGTAATACCCGGTTAAACTAGCCTGGTTACGAACACCTAGGATGAGCAAAAGAGTGTTACTTTTTAAGAGTCCATGACAGTAGTAAACTTGTGCGTGATACCATGAGGTTGTTGTCACAAAAGACAAAATGGAAACACATTAAGATACTGTATTGAAACATTTGAATCCTGTGAGCTTGGTTCTTCTATTTGGTCTCTTCATTTGGTGTAAACATGTTCCCAGGACAAAAACATTTCCATTATATTGTCCTAGTGATTGCATTGTCTGTTGGTGATAACAGGTATTTACTGAAAGACTTTTTTGAACCTCTCACGTATATAAGCAAGCAAACCCATTTATAGAACTATTTTATATTAGATTTGCAGTGAATTGTTTCACAAAATTTTGAGTTACCTGCATTATATTTATTTGTAGAATATTAATAGCGTGTACGCATAGAGATAATACGACAGTGATAAGGAAATGTGTGAAATTTGTATCTCTTATTTCCTCTCAGTTTTCACGCAGGAAGATACTAGCGAAATTCCAGAATAAATTATGTAGAACAGGACGAAAATAAACTATGCACGATTTGGGTAACTAGTGACATGGTCCTCCGACAAATAGAGAAATTAAAACAGAACAAATCCCCAGGCCCTGATGAATTGTTTGCAAGGGTTTTAAAGGAATATAAAGATGAGCTTAGCAAACCTTTGGCTAGTCTTTTCAACATATCACTACAAACTGGGAAAATTAATGGAATCAATAACTGCCGAGGCAATTCGTTGCAATCTTGAAAGGCATAAACTGATTAATGAATCTCAGCACGGTTTTACAAAGGGGCGATCATGCCTTACGAATTTACTAACTTTATTCGCCAACTTATTGTAGGAGGTAGATCATGGTAGTGAATATAATATAGACTTCAGTAAGGCTTTTGATGGAGTTCTACATCAGAGGCTACTGAGGAAAACTAAGGTACATGGAATAGGAGAAATTTTTTCCTGGGCAGAGGCATGGTTGACAAAGAGGCAGCAGTGAGTTTGCATCAGTGGGGAGAAATCTGAGTGGGGGCGTGTCACGAGTGGCGTTCCACGAGTGGCGTTCTGTTCACACTTCATATAAACGGCATTGATGATGGAATAAATAGTGACATAAGCAAGTTTGTTGATGACACCAAAATTGAGTACTCCAGGAAGATTTGAATATACTGATGCAGTGGTCGGAGAAGTGGCAGATGCAATTTAATATAGACAAATGCAAAGTTCTAAACATTGGACAAGAAAATAACCATTCCACATATAAACTAAATAATGTACATCTTAATATTACTGATTGCAAAAAGGATTTGGGATTTCTTGCTGGCAGTAATCTAAAAACAAGACAACACTGCGTAAGTGTTCGCAATAAAGCGAACAGAATCCTTAGCTTCATATCAAAGAGTATAAATAACAGGAGTTTTCAGGTTGTTCAACTCTATATATCGTTGGTTAGG